AGACACACATCAATCATTCAACTCATTCCTACTGACAGACATGAACAGCAGCCTCTCTTTGTCTTTGCTGTGAAGGAGCCACAATACAGCAGTACTGATAGTCCTTGGCTCTGGCTGCACTCTGCTCATGGCATGGTAAGCCAAAACAAGACATGGTTGCTGTGAGTATGCAGGTAGACATTGAGTGACTATTAAGAGAAGACTTGAGATACAGCTTGGTCCATATTGAGAGCTGCATCCCCGCAGCAGCCTTTCAGTGCTAGTTTCTGCTGTGCCTTGCAATGCAGACCTGTGCGCTCTGAATGACCTTCAAATAGACCAGAGGGGTAGCGTGATGGATTGGCAAGTGTTAGATGCCAGCATCCGTTGATGAGGTGTGCGTGCAGCTGGTAACTGTGGATCATGAGATGCAGTTCGGTGGTGAGCAAGATAAACCTTCTTCACAGCCAATGGCAAGTGAAAGTTACCAGGTACCTTATAGAGTGCCATGTTGAAATTTCTCAATATCTACCTTATTTGGAGCATTTGTTAAGATAGAAGTCTGAATATTAACGAGACAAGTTGCAGCATTAGCAAGATGTTTAACAAGCTATAATCTCCCTTAAATGGCAGCTCACTTTTGCCAAGCAGGAAACTGACCTTACTGCTTGGTAAAAACATGAAAGGTGAAGCAAGGTGCTCCCAATATTGAGGTAGACCACGCCACAAATTTCACCATAGCCCCTGTCACTCAATTCTGTTTAAGGTTTTGCCGATTGTTTTAGTTTCGCTTTAGATTTAGAGTTCTGTAAGTGGTTCCAGTTGTTTGGAGTTTATTTACATGCAATTGAATGAGGCTTAAAAGAGAAATCTTGAGATGAATAGTTCAGTGCTTTAGAAAACAAAGCTTGGGCTGTCAAAACAAGAGAAAAAAAAAATAAAGTAATGGAATTAAACAAAACTTGCACTCCAAGGAGAGAGGGAAACAGACAACATATCTTGGCTGAAGAAAACCTTAGAGTAATGGAAGAAAGAAGGCATGTTAGCTCCGAGATCAATTCCAATTTCAAGAAGGGATTTGCTTTGACTGGATATCTGTGTTTAATGCTTAAATTTACAGAGCTTGGAGTTGGAGATATTTCATTTGAAAAGATAGCTGTGAAGTTGAAGTTGCCAAAAGGTCCCTTATCAACTTCTACAGATGCACCATTGAAAGCATACTGTCCGGGTGCATAACGGTCTGGTACAGCAACTGCTTTGCCCAGGAACATAAGAAACTACAGAAGGTGGTGTGCACAGCCCAGACCATCACGGAAGCCAACCTTCCATCCATGGCTTTCTCTGAAAAAGGGTCCAGGCCCGAAACGTCAGCTTTCCTACACCTCTGATGCTGCTTGGCCTGCTCTGTTCATCCAGCTGTACACCTTGTTATCTCTTCCATCCATGGACTCTATTTACACGGCCCGCTGTCGCAGAAAGGCTGCCAACATCATCAAAGACCCATCGTACCCCAGTAATGATCTCCTACAACCTCTTCCATCAGACAGAAGACACAGGAGCCTGAACACACACAAGCAGGTTCAGGAACAGCTTCTTTCTGGCTGTTATCAGACTGTTGAATGGACCATAGCCTCAAATAATGTAACCTGCAATGTAATCTGTATGCCTCTAAGTCTTTTTGATCTATACATCCTTGGCTTGTTGTGATTTGCCTGTACTGCTCATAAACAAAGCCTTTCACTGTATTTCAGCACACATGACAATAAAATCAATCAATCAAGTTCTTTGGACCTTAATATTACTAGATGCTAATATGCAGAGTTATGGAAGTAGATGCCAATTTTTCAGAAAAGCAATCCGCGGACTATGCAGTTGTTAAAAGAGCAAGGACAGAGTCAGATGATGTTATGGAGGTGGAAATAAATGGTTTTATTGGCAGTGAGAATGTGGGACCAGAAGTTGAACGTGAAATCAATATAGCATCTATATTAGGTGTCATGATCTGAACAAACATCATAGAGCAAATCAGCAGAGGGATTCATTTGGCCATACTTAGAAGAATGTAATTGAAGGAATGTTGATAGAAGAATGATAATGCAAAGTGTATCAGTGGGAATTCTGATGAGTTATGAATTCATTTGAACACTGTTTGAGGGCAAAGCAATTAGAAGTGTTCAGTACGATAGACACATAGTGCAATTCTACAGTACTAAAAAATAACAGTGCTGGCATGATCAGATTTATTAAAGTTTTCCATGCTTTCAGGAACAGCAAAATGCTATGGCATGGTTAATCTTGCCATTCTCATTGATCAACTCAATAGAAAGATGCAGCAACACTACAACTCAAAGAAGGTCTCTTTTTCTGGCTCACTCCTTCTTGCTCCGTGAAGCAAGACATTTGGTTTGCAAACTGGCAAAAAAGAGATCTGCTCCTTTACACCACTGTGGACCTCAAATCTTACTTTAAAATGAGTTTTCCTGCTGATGTACGTGGGGTTTCCCAAACTCAGCCATTTTCCATGTTACTTTGACCAACTCTACGAGGCTAACATTACAAATAGTAATGTTATTGTCACCTGAAATGCACTGCCTGAAAGAATAGTAGAAGTGGAATTGACAGTAGTTTTCAGAAGGGAAATGGATATATACTAAGAAAAGAATATGTTTGCAGGGCTTTGGATAAGGAACAGGGAAGGGAGTCTGATGGAAGAACTCACTCAAAGAGCCAGCATAGACATGATGAGTCTAATAGTCTACCTTCACACAACCTCACTTGGAAATTGCACATCTGACCAGAAATTCTACATTTCTAACGCATGTACTTTAACTACTCTCATTTGAATTCTCATAACCCGTGAAAGCAAAAGGTATAAATAATTAATTCTTCACTCATGATAATTGTAAAGAACATTATCATGATAGCACAGGCTGAACTGCCAAGTATTGTGTTTAGTGTTTACTCAATTTGAGCAGTAGAGGGCACAAACATTCAATATTGAGATCTTCTGAATAAATATCAATGACTGACTTACCAATGATTCCCCAAGAATCTGAAACTCCAAGTTACTTCTACTCAATCTCATGACACCAATCAGAATGAACAATAATAGAAATCAGGATAAATATGTAAATACTGAATCTCTGTCAGCATTAATACCTGGTCTGTTTTCTATTGTTTTTCTGATACTCAGAGAAAGCACATAACCATTTGGGGTAGGTGTTAGTAATGATGTTTCGGGAATGGGTCCCCTCCTGCGATTTTCTGTGTCTTTATGAAATCTGCTATAAATTATTTTTATACAAGAAAGGGGCCTATGGAGAGAACATTAGAGAGGGCTGCACGTACAGTGTCATTTTTGGCTGCCATGCAACATTAGCCAAACATCTGTGCACAGACACATCAAAATGTCACAAGAGCATTGTCCTCCAGAGATCAGCTTCCTCAGTACACCTGGTTGCCATGTGACAGGACAATGACATTGTACGAATTGGAAGGATTCCCCATGTTTCAAGAGATTAGAGTTCATGCTCACCAGGTCACATGTGTTTCCCTGCACAATGACTATCTCTTTATCAACAGGAAAGATTCCACTTCTCAAATGCAACCAGTAACAGAGCATCTTGTCAGTAACTTCTGTAGGGTTTCAAGGAGGTCGCATCCGAAGTGAAGGACGGGGTTTTCCTTTGTATCAATGCATGTCTCTTGTAGGATTGCTCCACGTTTGAACATGGGAAGGATACTGGATTGCCTTTAAAATGAATACATCATGGCAACTCTTTATACAATGGACAAATACATGCATCAACCTCTCATGGTGAATTCATACAAGCTGCACATTTGTTGACTGGAAACCCCTGTGGTTGACAACATTTTCCTGATTGGTTGGAAGTTGCCCTGACCATGTGAATTGTCAATCACGTCCTGGAGTTGCAGAATGCTAACTGGTGCTTTAAGGCTCTCAGTCGTATGTTGTAAATTCGATACATCAGCCGGCCTGGCAAATAAAGGAACTGTGAGCAGTTGCTGCACCTTTGTGTGACCAATTTAGAGACCCTTGATTTGTTTCACCTTGGCAACCTGGGATAAGAAATAAAAGAGGAATAATTA